GGGGGGCCGGGGGTGGGGTGCTGGCGTTTGGGGTAAAGATCGAAGCCAGGGATGAATTTGACCTTGGATATGTTTGGTTACTGAGGTGTCATGTATCTCTTTACCGAAAATAGCAGCTCTAGTTTCAGGATGAGCTTAATCTTAGTGTATGTCCCAGGCTTCTTCTTGGGGTCTATGGAAGTGAGCAGAAGCCACTCTGGAAAGAGCAAGTGGTGAGTGAAACACACAACAGGCAAAATTTGGAAAGGTTTTACTTTACTTTTCACAGCTTTGCTGGGTTGCAAGTAGAGTCAGAGTGTTGCCTCAAATCTCCCTCCTCTCTATGGAAGCGTCTCAGCTCTAGATCAACTACATTGCAGTGGGAGTGGTTGTGTAAAGGACTGTGCCCTACTGGAGAGTGGCTGTGGTGGCTGCGGCCACTTGACTCTTAGGCCCCCTGAGTTTGTCCCCAACAGGCTGAGATCATTTTCAGGGCTCACTCTAAAGAATATTGGAGACTAGACTTGTTTTGGGTGTAGTCTTTCAATTCAATGCAGATATGATTCAGAAAAGCTTTGGAGTTGGTGTATTTTTTTAAAAAAACTTGATGCTTCATATGCTGTTTGGATTGCGTGCTCGCAGCTCAGCCCTTTCTCAGACCACTGAAAGTATCAGTGTAGAGCAGCACTTCCCTGACATCTTCTCTCTTAATCAGCCTATCTGCAGCCTTTCCCTTGCTTCAAGGTCAAATGTTGCTGTAGCTGTAACTGTTTTCTGGGAATTTTTTCCAGCTCGGCTTAGCATAGTTATTCCAGGCCATACAAAAATTTCCCACAGCGGTGTAAAGAAACTAATCTATTATGTTACAAAGTATTCTTATGGAAAAGCATATGCACTGCTCATGGTTCTCCTCAACTCATGTCCATTTCCATCCCAATTTTCCTGCACTTGTGGTATGTTAACTTTGAACAGGCTGTTGTCTCCTGCACCTAGGAGCCAGTGGCAGAAGCACATTCCCTTTGAAATGAGCAGGATTGCTTTGTTTATATTTGCGCTGCTTTTAAGAAAGTCTGAATTTCATCACAAATACTTGCAAAGTATTTATAATGTCTTGTAGAAGGAACCTAGTCCTTTGATGTGTCCTTTAAAAAATACCACATCACAAGAGAGATAGTGGAGATCAGAATCTTAGAATTCAGATCAGAGTTTAGCTCTGGCTAAATTATCTTTGTGCTTTGTATTAAATAGCGTATTTACAGTGTAGTTTTCCTCTTGCTTCTTTCATGATACATTTTAACTTCAGACTGAAAATCAATGGGTGACTTACTATGAAATTAGACTTCTTTCTCTAAAAGCAGAACTGCCCCTCCCTTTTTCCCTTCTTTTTAAAACAAGAACCCCAAAAATGTTCTACAGTGGTCTAGTGTTTGATTCCTTTAAGGAACAAAGAAAGAGAAGTAAGACTGTTGTTGTGTACTTAGTTCTTCCCTGTATCATGGAAACTTGTCCAAATAGGTTTGAGGAATCTAGATTCTTTGGACTGAGGTGAGGCATTTTGGGACAATAACATGATCTGTGTACTCCTGTTATCCTCAGATGTTAATATTTATCATAGAGGAATCATAGAGGGATCATAGAAGAAATAATCTCTTTGAAATTTTAACAGCGTAAAGAATTCCTGGTTTGGTTGTGGATGTTACAGTCTTTGAGGCTGGAAGTGATGGCAAGAAACCTCATGACAAAGTTGTTGGGTTCTGGAAGGTCCTGGGAATCTGCTGCTTGTTTGAGGTGGATTGCCTGATTTTTTTCATAATAGATAAGTAGGAGAAAACCCTGTGCCTTGGCGGAATTACTCAAGAGAAACTACGAAAGTTGGACCCTTGTAAGAAGCTAAATTTTCAATAGACATGAAAAAATGCAGAAATGAGTGAATTTGCCACTCAGAAGTCTATCCCTTGCACAGCGTTAACTTCTACTTGGTTTAAAACTTACTCTTATGCACTGAGTGATGCTCAGCTGTGCTGCTGTTGATTATTAGTTTTTTTACTCTTTTCAGGTCCAAAGTTCAGTCTTGGAACGGATGAGCAGAAGAGCCCGCTTGAAGACGTGCCGTCTTCAGACACTGACATAAATTTGGAGATATCTTTTTCAGAACAGGCAGCTAATCTCAAAGACAGCTCAGTAGGCAAAATGTGCAAGGGTGGAGGGGGCGACACTCTTCTCCCGGTAGGTGTTTCCTATTTATTACTCTCATTCTTTGCTTTTACTAGTGGTACTGTTTGGATAATATTTACCTGATAGTGGGTGAATTACACTTAGAAGAACATTTTTGGATCCAGCTTCGTGAAGATAGACCTTCTCAAGATAACTCTTTTTTTTTATTTTTTAGTAGTATCCTCAGTAACATGGAAGTAACTGCTTTTATGACTATTTATGTCATTGTCTTTCTGTCAAAATGTGCTTTATGTGTAAGCAATAATGGACTGGTAATATTAAGCCAGAATAGTGGCTTTTTGGTACTTGTACACAAACTGTGTCCTTACTTCATTTGTTTATAGCCTCTTCTCCTATTATCTGAGGTGAGATGCTTTACATCTGTAATGAAAATCTCTGTTGACATTTAAAAAGGGTTGGTAGATGCCTGTAGAAACCTTGTGCAGTTACCCAGTGCAAACAGGTGAGGGATGAGGATGAAGAACAAAATGGTCTATAGAAGTGGTAGGAAATTACAATAGTTTGTGCTCAGTTTTACTTTCTAACTCTAAATTAAAAAAGGCTCATTCTGAATGAGTCCACATAAATGGAAAAGATGCTGTGAGGCATTTAGCTGTTGACGCTCAGGCATCTTTTTGAGAATCTCTCTCTCTATCAGTTCATGAACATGCAGTTATGTATGACCTGTAAACTAATGACTGATGTGAAAAAGGTCTCATTTTTTCTAACAATGTTTGCAGACACGTCTGAGCAAACATAGTGTCTGCAGTAATAATGTTTCACAGTTCTTCAGACACTTAATTTAGATAAGAGCATGTGCAGTTCTTCAGATCATAGCTACCCCGTGTATCCTAGTTTAAACATTATAAACCAGACACTAATGGATATTTAGAAATGGATTCTAAAGTGTTTGAGTCACATCTCTCTAATGCAGCCTACAGCAAAGAAACTATAGCTGTACTCTAACTTTGGTATATGTGTGCGTATATATGCACACTACATACTTTAGCTGTAGTTTTAGCTAGTCTTATGGAGGATTGCTCAAAGACATGGCTATGGGTTTTCTCCTTCAGTGATGAAGGGAGTGACAAAATGATAGGAAAAGGAAGGGAGTTACCTATTTAAATCTACAATTTGTGCTTGTTGCACCTTTATCATTGGCAGCTATTTTGAAACACGCATGTTTGTGCAAGGCAATGAAACCTCGAGGCAGGAAACTGACTACAGTCTGTAAATCATGTTTATGTTTCAGTTTGTGCCACTGTAGTCATGTACCATGGATACCACTTCAGCTGTGCTATCGCTGGGTCTGTACAGGATGAGGAAATAATTCTGGAGTATCATATATCTTTCCAAATAGAAGAAAGCCATGTCAACCTTCTTGACTTTAAATCAAAATAAGCCTTTCGCAATGCTCATGTCAGGCTTGGACAAGTCTTGCTTAGAAACCTTCTTGTGAGACATGGAGTGTATGACCTGGGAAGTCCCTCATCCTTGACCTCTTGGCTCAGTTCCTTTTATCGGTCTCTACTGCACCTTCTGAGCATTTAGTGCAACAGAAATGAGCCATAATTAAGGATCCCCTTTCCCTAAGAAGGGAACGCCTTTATTATTATTGATATGGCAGCCAAGTATGTTATTTTGTGTACATAAGTGCAGAAGGATTTCTGTCCCATTTGTACATGCCTAGGATTGTTCGTGGACAACAGCTATTTCCACCACTATTGCTTGCAAAAGGATGCAGAAGGTGGAGGGGTGGGGTTGGGGTGTGGTTACAAGCAAGACAAAGCCAGACTCTTCTTGGAGGTGCACAGCAAAAGGACAAGAGGTAATGGGCACAAGTGACTACAGGGGAAACGGTTTGCAAAGAAAAAAAAGTCCCCATGAGAGCATTAAGCACTGGAGTGGGTGCCCACAGAGTTTTTTGGGAGGTTTCAAAATTCAGTTGGACAACCCAATGAGCAATCTGATCAGACGTATAATTTAGCCTTGCTTTGAGCAGACAGTTGAATTAGGTGGCCTCCAGAAGTCACTAGAAACCTATATCTTCCTATGATTTTAAAATCATCTGCTGTTCAATCTATCTGGGGGATTCTCCCAGTAACAGTAGGCTTCATGATGAAAGGCTATGCCCGGAAGCATACACAGCCTTCGAGGTAAATAATTTGTTATGTCTTGGATTATTCACTCTGCTGCAAATCTCTGCTTTTAGAATTTCAGGCTGCCAAAGGACAAAACAGGTACCACAAAGATTGGTGACCTGGCCCCTCAGGACATGAAGAAAGTCTATTCTTTAGCACTGATTGAATTAACTGCTCTCTATGACATACTTGGGACAGAATTCAAGCAGCAAAAAGCTGTAAAAATCAAAACCAAAGGTGAGTCGGTGTTTCATATTCTGAACCAAATGTGTCTGGTTTCATCCAATAAACAAATGCATCTGGTTCTTTATGATCTTCCAGCAGAAAAATTATATTAATGCATAAATAGTAATGTAGGTCCTGAGCAGCATTTAATCATAAGCCTTAACTCAAAGCACACTTTAGGCAAGTTCACACACATAGTCACTCCAGCTATGGGACTGTGCTCTCTGTCTGAAGTCAAAACTCAGGTCAGTCACTGAGTATATGAACCAAGGAGTGAAGTAGGGGACCTGTCTTAGTAGTGTGCTGTGCAGGAAGAAATGCTTCACAGAAATTTGTATGTGCTGATACATTCCCTGGGAGAGCACATGTATGGGCTCTTTGTGGGTATTCTTTTACTGATTTCCTGAGCGTAGGTACTGTGCTACTTCAACCTGACTTTTTTGCTTTCATTGCCCTTGCTTGGAGATACTTTGGGAGCCTTTGTCACCTGCTTCTTTCTTCTGTGTGATACAAACTTTCCTGTCACATAGGCCTTCCCATCCGGTATTTACTCGGACCATAATGCAGTTTTTATGCTGAATGACATCATATTAAGTGGAAGATTTGGCTGTTAGAGAGGATGTTGAGACAGCTGCAATGTGTCATTATGCTCTGCAAGCTATTGGAGCCTATGTATAATCACAGTGCTTTTCTTGGGAACATAGGACACATGGAAACAAATTTTCAAGATGGTAGAGGTTTTAAGTGCTTTGTTTGTTTTCTATATTTCTGGCGTTTCCTAAATGCTTTACAAGAGCTTGAAATGTGTTCCCAGTTAATCACAAGCCTGCTTTGGCCAAAACCATGTTGTCAAGGTTCAGTGAATGTGACAGTGCAATAGCTCGCTTTAAATAATTGAAAGCAACAGAGAGGGTTGAGAGGTGTACAGCAAGGTACAATAGATTCTTCAGAATATGCTCTTCGGTTTACAGTAGTAGAAAATAGCTTTTTAAGTGAAAAAGACATACACAGAAACATCTATAAGACCTTGATCCCTTAAATACATTTTCTTCTTGCAGAAGTGCTTGTACTTTCACTAATAAACAGAGACAAAACACTTTCTTCTCTTGTATTTTGGGTAATTTTTAAAAAATTCATTCTTCTTGACAGACTTATTGTTAATTGAACTTCACTCATCACTTTATTATCATGAGACACAGTTATAAAAAACATTGAATTGATTAAAAGCCCTGGTTAAAAAAGATGGGCTAGACTCATGGAGATGCGTAAGCAGTAGACAATGACAATTTCACAGATTCACAGAGTGGAAGGGGTTGGAAGGGAACTCTAGCCTCATCTAGTCCACCCCCCCTGCCAGAGCAGGATCACCTGGAGTAGATCACACAGGAACAAATCCAGGTGGCTTTTGAAAGTCTCCAGGGAAGGAGACTCCACCACCTCTCTGGGCAGCCTGTTCCAGTGCTCTGTCACCCTCACAGGGAAGAAGGAATTCCTCATGTCCAGGTGGAACCTTTTGTTTTCCAGTTTATGGCCATTGCCCCTCGTCCTGTCACTGGGCACCACTGAGAAGAGCCTGGCCCCATCTTCCTACCACCCACCCTTTAGATATTGATAAGCATTGATAAGATCCCCCCTCAGCCTCCTCTTCTCCAGGCTAAACAGACCCAGCTCTCTCAGCCTTTCCTCATATGGAAGGTGCTCCAGGCCCTTCATCACCTTAGTGGCCCTGTGCTGGACCCTCTCCAGTAGTTCCTTGGACTTCTTGAACTGGGGAGCCCAGAACTGGACACAGCACTCCAGGTGAGACCTCACCAGTGCAGAGTAGAGGGGGAGGATAACTTCCCTCAAATTGCTGGCCACGTACTTCTTAATGCATCCCAGGATGCCATTGGTCATTTCTGCCAAACAAACCTGCTTTAGGAATGTAATGCCTTCAGTGCGTTGTTGCTCTACATGACCCTCACATCTTCACTCCTGAAGTGTTCTTTGGCCAATTGATTCATAACAATGGTGGATCTATTGTCTGTTCCCTTTGATGCTTGGGTACATATAGACGATGAACGTGTAATTCTTACATGGAATGCTGTGCTTGTGCCCAGCTGTGCTTTTCTATTGACCTCCTACCGTTTCTTTCTCCAACTTCATCTCAGTAGAAGCTTTTATTATTGACAAGATCTTCAAGATGAGAAAACTGTGGGGTATGGATATTGAGCGAATGTATGAGTCTCTACATATTTTATAGGTAGAGTTTTTATGCTGATACAGATACAAGAACTTCCTGATTTGGCACTGAAATGGATGTTTTGTTGACATATACCACATTCCCTCAAGGGTTCACATCTTTTTAGTAATTACAGCTGTTCTGTGCTCAATATCGGCATGGCATCGTACCAAGCTGGAATTTTTAGCTACATGTAGTGTTGTTATATGCTGTTTCAGAAAAGTTGCACATACAGCAATTATCAGTACTTCTGACAGAGTTGTTCTGTGTCAGCAAACTTTGGGTTAGTTCACTTGGTCGTTTACTTTTATTTTAGTGGGCCATAAACACATGGGAGTCCCATTTACTTGAAGACTAAGGCTAGGTTTACATCAGGGCTAGATTAACTGAGACTAGATTCCATTTTTTTAAATGTGCATTACCTTAGTACTATTGTAAAGGCCATTTTTTAACCAAGATTTAACTGTACTTCTACTTTTATTTAAAAAAAAAAAAAAAAAAGAAAAGGCAAAACACCTTTGGCAAGATGGTGGTCTTACTATCCTTCTGGTGTTGTGTAACGCAAAAGCACAGGGATCGAAAAGCTCTTCTTTCAAAACCCTTATAGAGAGAAGTTTTCTGAGTAACTCTGGGCTATAATTACATCTGTCTCATTTTAGTAGCCAAATTTCTGTGTATTTTGCTCATGCCATTTACATCTTAACTGAGTGATGAAGATCTGCATCATCAGACCCATTCTGCAAACCAGAACCATGCAGATGGTTCATTTATGCAGTTTGCTTCACTGTGCTGCAGAATATGTGGATGGCAATTTTAAGTCAAAACAGAAGACTCCTGATTTATGGTTGAAGGAAGAGATGAATGAATCCTTTTAGCCAGAATGTTTTGTGTAATAACTTGATTGAGAAAGACATTCAAACACTTTGAACAAAAGGTCAATAGCTCTGAATGTATTGAATAGACTTACTGCTTCAAAAATGTGGGTTTATGCTATTATCACATGTACTGGAACAGATGTGGGTAATATCTTTTTGCTTTATTCTTCAGACTCTGGCTTATTTGGTGTCCCACTGTCAGTTTTACTGGAACAGGATCAGAAGAAGATGCCAGGAACCAAGATTCCACTGATTTTTCAAAAGGTAAATAGGCACGAAGAAGTCAACTCGTTACACACCTGCAAATGAAAAACAGATAACATTTTGTCCTGGGTTTATTTGCTCCCTATAGCACAGTTTTCAGTATATTACTGTAATCAATCAAACTCATTGTAGCTTTTATTTGCAGCTTTACTTATTAATTCAGTAAATATGATACTTCATATCAGACATATTTTGATTTAAGGAATAAAGGTTTTGGCGCTTTTTTTTATTACAGCTGGTCTCCAAGATTTAGTCAAGTTTACTAATAAGCCTGTGAAAACTGACAATCAGTGTAAGAACTCACTGCAGCCAAATTCCACTTCATAAAGGTGGTGTGACTTCCATCATCCGTAGGGCTGTCCATTTTTTTCAGAGCAAATACTTGAAATTCCATGGAAATTCTCAATCCCTGGCCCACAGGCTGAACCTCCCTTTCTAGGAAGTGTCTTTCTCCTTCCGGAAGTGATTTGGGCCACAGGGTAGGTGACTAGGGAGTGGGCATCAGACTGTCTCTGGTGGTAGCAGCAGCTCTTTTCCAGAAGATCTGTTGCTTTAGTATGTGGGGGGATGCTTTGGCCTATATCATGCCACAGTAATGGGGAGGATAATAGGAAAGATGATGGAGACCCTGGGTTTACTGCCCATGCATAGTAGGTCTCATTGCATGAGAAGGGAGAGACCACAGTGTGTGCCATAACAGTTTCAGGTTGGGGACCTGCTTGGGAAGTGATTTTTCAAGAAACAAAATACTCGAAGTAGTTTTGCATCACTCTCTCAAAACTACCACTGTGTCATTCATGCCAGAAATTACTTCCTCAGGATCATCAAAATACATTTCTGGGAAAGATGCTATTCAGAAAAAAAGAAATTACGAAAAGTGATTGATCTCGCTGTACTATTCTAGCAACACAGTAAGCATAGTTCTTCAGGAAGAATATTCTACATAAACATTTCTAGCTCATGGATGTGATTTGTTTTGTAAGGTGCAGACATCATTTGGAATACAGATTTTCTTTAAATGAGAACATGAAAATAAAAAGTTTCCCATTTGTTCTGCCTGTTCTCTACAGCATGTGCTTTCCAAGAATAGGGTGCAAGAGAGAATGTTTTTGTGCACACTGCTTTTTAAATTAACTTGGTTATCAATGAAATGAAACAAACCAAGCTGACAGGACGGCTGCTTGATTTAAAAAAGAAAAAAACAACAAAACTTTTAATAAAAATACACCTAGTTGTTATTTCATTGGAGAATTATAGTTGAAAAGAATGACATAATTTAGCCTAGGGATTTTCTGTCTGGAAAATCTGAGAGTAGTACCAATCTGTGTAGGAATACCAATATGGAATTGGTTCAGGTCTCTGTCCTGCTAAGGAAGCCGTGCAAAGTAACCCTGATAGAGGTGAAGAGTGGATTCCCGTAGGTAGGAGGCTGGCACTCATTGCCTGCCAAGGGGAGGGGAGTGAGTGTATGCGAAGGAGTTGTGGGCGCCAGCAGTGCCACCAGACCTTGCTTCCTCCTGGGTGCGGGGATGGTGGCAAATCACACAGCATGCCCTCAGTGTCCAACCGATGAGACTGGCAGCCACTGCTCTGGTGTAAGCTGAATATGGCAGCTGGATGCAGCCAGTTAGCACTTTTCCTTTTTTTAACCAAGAAAAAAAGCCCAGGGTGACACTGTTAGTGCTGTTTTCTAATTTTGTGGGGTTTTCTCCCTGTTCTTTTTTTATGGCATTTATCAGTTACATAAATAGAGTGATAGCTAAAGCCCCTTTCATTTCTGGAACTGGAGAAAACACAACTGTGTTGCATAATTTTTCTTGCTCAAGAGCTGGCACAGGAAGGTATGTAACAAGGGCACTGCCCTAGTTAAACATTGTGAGAACCATTTGTACTAAAATGATGTCATCAGCTTTTGACATTTACAAAATTCTTTGGAATACTCTTAGAGCCATCCTTCAGTGAATGATTCTTCGTGTATCTTTTAGAGAAACAGAATTTATGATGCGTGTTCTAAGTGCTTTTACAGAATTTCTACTGATTTGTCTAAGCCATGCGTAGGATTGCAAACTGTTGCTTTAGTTAGGAGAATGCCAGGATTTTCAAACTTGAAGCTTCCTTAAAGCCTGAAAGTGTTTAAGTTTTCTTGGATAAAGTTGTAAAGAAGCGTATTTGTGAGAAAGTTTGTACTCTATCTCTAATGTTGCCTTAATTGTTTTGATTTAGAGGCATTTTAACAAGGGCAGTAATTGGGATTTATTTTTGAAGACGAGTAATTTTGGAAAAAACCTTCATCAGTACCTGAAGGAGATATAAAAAATACAGTTTTCTTTTTTAACAAAATAATAGTGTTCATAAAGCAGGTCAGAGCCATATTAAGGGATTTTTTCCTACATCTACAGCAACTGCAATCCATTTGCAAACTGTATTTGAGTGTCTGCTTGTTAGAATGCATGCATACACATATGCATACATAAAGGCTTCAGTACATAAGAACTATCTACCAGTAATTTTTGATTGGCATCTTTATTAGAATCATAGAATCATAGAATGGTTTGGGTTGGAAGGGACCCCAAAGATCATCTAGCCCCAACCCCCCCGCCATGGGCAGGGACACCCCGCACTAGACCAGGTTGCTCAAAGCCACATCCAGCCTGGCCTTGAACAGTTCCAGGGATGGGGCATCCACAACATCTCTGGGCAACCTGTTCCAGTGCCTCACCACCCTCTCTGTGAAGAATTTCTTCCTGACATCCAATCTAAACCTCCCTGCTTTCAATTTGCACCCGTTACCCCTAGTCCTGTCACCACAGGCCCTTGTAAAAAGTCCCCCCCAGCTTCCTTGTTAGGCCCCCTTCAGATACTGGAAAGCTGCAATATTAATGCAATTTGCTTTGGGTTTGACAGCTGATTGCCCAGATAGAAGAGACAACTCTGGAAACAGAAGGACTTCTTAGAATACCGGGAGTTGCAACAAGAGTAAAGGTAAAATATTGCACAGATCCTAAACATCCCAAAAAACTTTCTTGCACTTGCTGATTTTATTTTGTTGTGGAAATATATTTTAATACCAGGTTGTTCTGAAAATTTTCAAAACCAGAAATCAAAATCTCTTTACAACGAAAACTGAGTTGTATTAGCCAGGAAGCTGATCGTTTTATCCAGAGTAGTTTTGGGGACGAGACTGTAGCTGGAAGGAGAGCAAAGGCTATGTTTCAAATTCAGTTGTGCCAAAATCTCATTAATTCTTGGCACGAGCTTTCCAGCCTTTTGCTTTTTCCCTGAACCAGCTTAATCATCTAAACAGTTCATATATAGTCTTTCTACCCCAGGAGGAAGCTTTTCTCTGGCATTGTGAGCCTATTTTAATAGCTAGACTTAACCTGTGTTACAGGGCAAGGCAGCCAACATGCACTGAAGAACCTCTCACATTTATTTTTACAACAGCAGTATAACTACTCAGCTCACTAAGCGCAATCTTGTTAGGCACGTCTGTACTCACCAACACTTTGCAGAGTGAGTGCCAATTACATGCAGACTCTTCCCCAGTATTTGCCTTAATGCAGGAAGCTAAATACACAGTATGATTCACGCCAAGAGTCAATGTGTTAAAAAGATGTCTGAACTGGACTTAAATTCTAAACAGAAAGGACTGTTTTAAGTGGATTCAGCTGTCCAAAGACATCTGCCAGCCTCTGTTGTGAAGAACTCAGTCCAGCAACTGGTTCATTAGAAACAACTGAAAGAAGGGAATATTTTAGAAATTGGCTTTGTTTATTTACCAGTAACTAAGGTATTATTTTTTTTAGAATTTTCCTCCATTATTTATTTTTCTCTATTCATCAGTTCTGCATACTGGAATGTTTTCTGAGTGATTTTTTTAATTTGTTTATTCTTTGATTTTATCAGTTTAATATGAGTTCCAAGGCAGAGGATTGTTCACTATTTGACTTTCATTAATTTTTTACCTATTTATTTGCAGGAGCTGCTTCTTTGATTCAAGCAATTGTTGTGTTAGCAAAGATGTTAATTTCCTTTACTTACTCAAATAGAAAACTTTATAGGAAAACAAAAGAATTTAGCATACTAAGGGACTGATGTTTTCTCTTAATTTTCTTTTCTTCTCCTATATAAAAAGAAAATATTTTCCTCCCTATGTAACTTTATCGAAAGGCATAGATAATCTCAAGAAAAAATACTTTGTTGTCTTATTCTATAGATTTTAGAGTTGTTGTTAAAAAAATACACTGACTTTATAATCTTAAGCATTAGTCTGTTATGACACATACCTCACATTTCTGCCCTTGCCTCTCAGATAAAGCAATCCATTTAATTTAGTTGTTTAATACAGCTTTTGCCATAGTGATTTGGTCTGAATGTGGATGGAGGAGCTGGTGAGACTTGGGGAGAATTTTCATCTTTATTTCTAAAGCTTGCTTTTGTTGATGAGCAGGAAATCACACCCACTTGACTTTAGACATCTGAGTTAGGATCTTTGCACCTTTGAACCCTCTTTGTAATCAGTGGAGGCAGATGATCTCTCTGGAGGACAGCTGAGAACATCCAACTTTTATATGAACCTAAGTGTCCACATTTTCTTTGTAAATAGACCCATTTGGACAGAGTTAAATTTAATCAGAACAGCATCTTGAAAAATTATCTAATATCCTCTACCCAAAGTGCCTTTCTTGTCCAGATAAAAAATTAAGGCCATATTTTTCCATAGCACTTTCCCTCATTTCATCTCACATACTTTACAAAACAAGCCAGTGTCTCTGTCCTCATTTTCTCTCTGGAAGAACGGAGGCAAGAAGAAGGGAGGGACTTGTGAGGAGTGCCTCATGGCTGCTGGCCCTGTCCCGAGGCCACTTCCTACTCTGCTGGACAGGGAAATAAATGAAGTGGGTGCAAGGTGGGGACTGATGCTGAAGGGAAGACTAAGAAGGACTCAGTCTTCTCAGGGTGTTCGCTTTCATACATCTGTGGAAGCCAAATCATAGCATTGCCGTGGGTGCAGAGCGGGTATATGGGAATGCCTCCTGCCAGCAGTATCCTGCAGTAATCCTTATGTGAATGAATATATCTGGTTCTTACAGTATATTCTATGTGGCCCTGAGGCAGGCCCATGGGATTTCTTCCTATATGATTTGGCCTTCTTCTGCCTGTTACTATGTGTTTGCTTTCAGTGCTTCTGATCCCAAATTTATCCTTTTGTAGCAAAAGATCAGAGGCGGCTGGAGTTCAGTAATATTTCAGATGTCCCACCCCCCCTACTCCCTTCAAAGTATGGCAAGTATTGCTATGTGTATAATGCATGACTTCCAGCAGCCAAGTGTTACTGGTGCTCTCTGTATCTACTGCTTTTCAGGGTCTTTGCCAAGAACTGGAAGCAAAATTTTATGAAGGGACTTTCAACTGGGAAAATGTAAAGCAACATGATGCAGCAAGTCTTTTAAAACTCTTTATCCGTGAACTGCCTCAGCCACTCCTCACCATAGAATATCTTAAAGCTTTCCAAGATGTACAGAGTGAGTAGTGTCCTTTCTGTCTCAGCTGCGAGGAATTGATGCCAGTGGAGAGAAGTGCCTCTGCCGTGGCAGTATTTTTGCTAATAATATGTGAAACTGAAAACCAAATTGAATAGCAACATTATCACTTCTCCTGAGAAAAGACTGGGCATATCTTTGCTAATGTACAAATAAAAGTTTTTCATGGAACATCTATTTTAATAGTTTGCACGTAAAATGAAAGCACACTGCCACTTTCTGATGTTTCTGATAGTTGTTAGGAGGTATAGATGGGTTATAAGGCAATTGTGTGTGATGATATCAGTTTATAAACAATATTTGCTACAAAAGAAAACACCAGTAAAGATAGAATAGTTCTGCAGAAAATCTAACAAATGGTAATTTTTGCAGTTTAGGGTATTTTATCCATTTACAGCAGGAAAAGTTAGAGCAGAATAGTCAGAACTGCTGATCATCCCTGGTCCCTTGAGATCAGCAAGTTCCTGTGAAAACGTCCTCCTTGCCAACTAGTCACCAAGAGAGCAAACATCCCAGCTATAATGGAAAGAGAGCAGCTTGGTGATAATTAATCAGGAGTGAGAACCTACATACATTAACTCCCCAGCCAACACAGGAATGCAAGTTTCAGAAAAAGCTATTCCCCTGGTCTGCAGGCAGAGCCAGGGTTCATTTCTGAGGGACACTTTCAGGCAATTCCCATGGACAGGCAGACAGACAAATATTCTTAAAAACTGTGGGCTGTGTCAGTCTCCAGGTTGTGAGCTGCCTTGCAAGGCCATTAATTCGGTGAGAATGGGAGGCTGGTGCTTAGGCATGCTACATAATGTTGATTTTGCAGTACTGAGTGGCTAAAGCTGGCCAGGATGCTTTCAAATTACACTGGCAGCAAACAACTCCTCAAGGTTGTTCCACTTTCTGGATACTGGTTAGAGCCAGGAGGGTTTCTGCTTGCTGCTCCTGAGGTGTCTGAAAGCTTATGTGGTTTTACTTACCCGGAACGTAGTCAGGTGCCAGGATCCAAAACACTTTCTGGATTGAGCCAAAGGATTTGATGCAAAACAGACATAGCACTTCATAGCCTCCCATTGTTTAAACTGTCTGCCCATCTTGTTGGGTACATGTAATAAGATCAGGTGTTAGAGGAAATGAGCCATCTTTGTGACAGTAATCAGTGGTTTTCATGATACTGTGGCTAAGTAGTGTGATTGGAATTAAATAATTTAACAACTTAATTTAAACAATTAATTTTGGTAGTTAAAATAATTTAAACAACTACAATTCAGTCATTATGTAGGTGTACAGACAGAAAACCTTTATTTAAGTCATGAATTTTAATTGGTTTATGTTTTTGCTTACTTTCCTAGGAAAGGGTTGATTCTCATTGATTTTTGAGCATGGTGACGTGGTGTTTTGGAACTAAATTTAAGCATTTACTTTTAATATATGTCATTCTAGAGCATGTAGATACACTTACCACCAGTTGAATGTTTTAAATGCCTCCATATGTTATCACTCATTTGTTCAGAGCCTTAAATTTTATTACAGCAGAAAGTAGTCAGCAAGGTTTTTTTTTATTTCATCATTTAACATTTTTTTGGAGATATCTCCCAACCTGATTTGGATGAAATGCATTTGAAATAGCAGTTCAGTTAGAATCCCAGCAGGACGAGAACAACCCTGTTGAATTTTGAAATAGTGTGATAAGACTATGCCAAGTGCAGGTACCTCCTCCTTGACTTGTTTTATGTACGGCCCGATTCATCAGGAATCTGCTGAGAAGACTTGCCAGAACACATCCTCTAAAGCATGACAGGAGGAAGTTTATCACAAGTGACAAATGTGGGAGAGTTGGGGCTTTCTGATGCTCAACACTGCCAGAATGTAGGAGCTCTTCTAGGAGGTGGAGGAGTGCAGGGATGCACTCGTCCTGCATCTTGGGTAAACAACGTATCACTGAGCAACTGGGTAAAAGGCAGAACCAATGTCACTTTTCCTTAATTATAGCTTGCCACATTTGATAAAGCACTCACTGCTGTAGATATGTGTTAAGCTCCTCTGCGCTTGGCTTTATCCCCACTGGTTTGCCACTGCATCTGCTGCTGCTTATATCGCTGGAGACCTGCCTTGTTCAGCAACACGTGGTGTTCATTCTGCGTGGGTGACTTGGGAGATCATGCAACCGCTAAGGCAATCAGAGAAAACTGTGAAAGCAGTTTTGAATGTACCCTTTCATATCTTGGGGCACAGGCTCAAAAAGGGAGGAACTGTTAGCTGACTGTTTCTTCTTGTAACATTGCAAAATAAAGTTTCACAAGGCATCTAGAAAATATTGCCAGAAGACTGCTGAGTCACACAGTAACTGAATCCTAAAAGAACATTTGGAAGGGAGTATCAGAAACCAAGGATATGCTAGTCCTTTGTCACACTATGACAGTTAAGCATGTGTATGCATTCAGCAATTTGCAAGAGGTTTCCACTTTGAAACCGTGTTTTTTGAAGGGAACAAATGTCAATTTTAAAATGCTGAGGTTCCTGTGCTTCACTGGCAGATCTTCCGATGAAGAAACAGCAACTGCAAGCTTTGAATCTTTTGGTTCTCCTTCTACCTGAAGCAAACAGAGACACTCTGAAGGTTAGAATTGCTAATACTTATTTTCATACACAAATATTTTGCCTCTTTCTGTGAATCCACTGTAATGAATGCTGTTGTCTTTCAATATTCAGTTCAACATTTCAGTTCAAAGTCAGTGCTGAAACTAGTGATTCCTTCTGTTTTCATGTTTCACAAAACTTCAGAGAAAAAGAAAAAAACACCACAACTTAGGACCCTAATTCCTCCCAAATGACTTTTAAGAATGTGACTTGAGATTTTTCCAGGAGATTATTATTAATAATCTCCCTGTGAGCGACCTTTTCTCTTACAAAGTTCGTTCCTTTTTTTTTTTTTTTGGCAGCAGTCATTATTTCCAATGCAAAAAATAAAGTGTAAGAATACTATGGATGAGAGTTTGCTTTTATGAAATGGGTTTAGCTCTCCATTTTTGTTCCCCATTTTTCTCTTTGATGTTTGTTTCTACTCTCAATAAGCTACACTTCCTATTGGTATTTGCAGCACTTCACAGGGGGTCTTCCAATGTGGGCTTGTGCTTTTGTAGCAAAGCTATTAATCTTTTTCAGAATATGCTTACTATTAAAATTGCTACAGTAAAGAATTAATTTGCAGAATTTTTGTAGGATGCAGAACATCTTCTGTTACAGGCAAAAAATCCTATTAGGTCCTATTGTTTAAACAATACTTTCTTTTTGAGTTTACTTCCTGTGTAGAAGCAGTCAGGAGGACTCCTGAGTTGTTACAAATATGCAGAACTGAATTAATTGAAGAATGTCAGTTTGTAACTGGGTACCTGTCATTCACAATGCAGTGGTTTACTCACAAATTGCTTACCCTACAGAGCTAGCCACTCCATGTTTCCATAACCATGACAGTTGGCCCTATGTGTTCACTTTCAATTTAAGAAATGCCAACAGTAGTGTTTTCAAAAGCCTCTGTGGGATACTACTTACTTACGCACCTACATAACGAGGGTTTTGAAAAAACTTGCTGTGCAGGGCTTTGAACACACGTGAATGCTTTTGAAAATGTTGTCCACAAAAAAAAAGAGAATTATTTATTTCATTGCTTAAAGGAAACAAAACTTGCATTACAGTCCTGTGAACAAACATATCCATACTTCCTATTGATTGCTTTTCATGTGGTTTTATTAGGAATAAAGAGCTTTTTCCAAAAATGTGTAACATGTTTCAGTCTAACTTTTTCATGTGCAGAGTTGAACTGTAACTTCTGCTCTTTTTGCAGGTATTGCTTGAATTCCTCCAAAGGGTAATTGATCATCGAGACAGAAATAAAATGACGTTAAATAACGTTGCGATGGTGATGGCCCCAAACCTTTTCACATTTCATGGGTTTGGTTCAAAGACTATTGAACAAAGCGAGTTTGTTATGGCAGCTGGAACGGCAAATGTCATGCGCTTTATGATTCAGTACCAAAAACTTCTCTGGACAGTAAGTGTATCCTAGGGGAGGGCAGGGGAGGAGTCATAAATTTCACAAACAAGGCATCTGAACAAAGATGTAATATGGACTTATTTCCATGATTTAGAGAAAAATCAGCCCTGTCCAGCTGGGTTCTTGCTCATAGGTAACTCTTACAGGAGTGGAACAGAATTACATCTTATTGTAGAGTTAATCTCTGATGGTCAGAGTTTTAATATTGTGTGTACCATATGTGAACTCAGAAATAAGTCCTTGGAGTATCTTTTGCCTGTCAATTTACATTGTTCTGAGGAATTTATTCTTTTCTGCTTAGAGATATTAGCAGGAAACATGGTGGTTTAGTCCATTTTCCTTTTGGGCCAAACCTCGTATTATATAAAGCATGTTTTGATAAAAAATGAAGTTGTGCCATGGTCTCAAGCAAAGCTCTAACTCAGACAGACTGGAGAAGTTTGGGCTTTGTTGTCTATCAGTAACTAAACAATGGTGACCTTTGCTGTATATGAGGAAAAGGTATTAGCGTTGTACAGACTAAGTGTGGAGTGAATTTTTATGACTGCAGAAAGTACACAATTCCACCTCTCTTCCCCCAGAAGCTTACTACAAGGAATATAACATCACAGAGTGGTTTTTAAACTATTTTTCAGCTTTATATTATTTGAATCTTTTATTATTACTGGAAATAAATACTATTTTCTGAGTTCTACCTGACAGTCTGTCAATTTATTAAGTTTTGGTAAGTTATTTGCTTAAGGAAGTTATGTAGATATTCATACTTGCTACATATATTCACCTAGATTCCTAAGTTTATTGTTAACCAAGTGAGAAAACAAAACACTGAAAGACAGAAGAAGGAGAAAAAGGACAAAGCTATGAAGAAACTTCTGAAAAAGATGGCATATGACCGGGAAAAGCATGAGAAGCAGGAGAAGACCCCTAATGATGTAAGAAAACATATGTGTGAAATACTTTCCTAATAATACTGTCATCTGTAGTGAAAAAGTGGATATAGCAGAGTGGATATCTACATTTAACTGAGAATTTCAATGGATAGCAAGTTATTATGGGTTTCATAGTTTATTACCAGCATAACACATTTAGAGGGCTGGGATGTTTGTTTTCCCAGATTTTTCAGAATATTTCTATTCTGAAACATGGTGCCCCGCTGAGTGTTGCAGTTTGGGCATCTGAAACAGAAATATATTAGGTCTATATCTGTAGAGGGAGCGAGTGTTGTGACAACAGTATTACGGTACCCACTTTTAGAAGCATTGCTGCCTAGTGGAAGTCAGAGCAGACCATGTGCTGTGGTCTGCTGTGATATTTTGATATTTAATAGATTTTGGAAACAAAGCTAGCATTTAATCCTTCTTCCTCCTACAGGAGTTCCCAAACCACTGAACTCTTTGCTTCAGTGAATCTTTAACTGTTCCTTGTAAAGTGAAGCATGCTCGAGCATGCACAAACTGCCCACCCTAAGAAACCCCAAAGGATGAAACAAATGTAAAAAAACTGATAAACTGCTTCTTATGCATCTGCGGTCCAAGTGTCTGTTCCCAACCTCCCCCTATGCATATAATCTACAGTCCAGTGTCTCTGTATTAGGTAACGGGCTTCTACCAGACCATTAGTGATGTCAAGGCATAAGTTTCAGTGTAACGCCCTTCACACATTCTTTAAAATGAAAAAAAAAAAAAAAAAAATCTTGTGGCATTATAGTGTAAATTTTTCCTCTGCTTTAGAAATATTTTAATTGAACCATTCCCACTCACATGGGAACTTGTCCAAACTATATTTCATATACCTTGATATTTCTTATTATTTACGATTTCAATGAAGTTAGTAATTATAGTTTTAAAAAAACCTCATTAGCCTATACAGTAAAATATCTTAATTATAATGCATTTCAAATACATTGATCCAAAATTATTTTAAGTAATGTAAACAGGTAACACCGAAGATGTGCATCCTGGTAGCGTAATGAAGACATAGCAGATTTCGGTGGTATGAAAATACCACCTTGTGGGTTGAAGTCATATTGGAGATTCCGGTGAATTAGAGACATCTTGTGGTAGCTTGTAGAAATGCCTTGGTCTGAATGGTCTGTTTTTCTTACCAAGTACGTGTATAGCAAACTGTTACAAAAAAGGGTTGTCATGTTCTGAGAAAGGCATTTTTTTAAGCTCTTAGACAAAAACTAGAATATAGCAAATGAATATGCAATAATAGTCATCGAATCTGCCTGGTTTGGTTTTGCAAGAATGCCTTCTTCTTTTTCCAAAGTGCAAATGGCTGGATCCTTTGGACAACTCTATGACAGTAAGATTATGAAGGAATCTGTACACAGAATGAGGACGTACATACAATTTACAAATAAAGCTGATTAAACACAGACATTTGTTTTACAATGTCTAATAAGAAAAGGATCCTTTGAATACAATTCAGTTGAGTTATGATGAGATGACACTTAATGCTGCCATCCCCTGTTCAACACAAAAATAACAGCAAAAACACTGAAATAGGCAAATGTTGAAACTTGAAGTATTGGATTTTTTTGTAGTTCAGTGTTGTTGGTCTTTTAGAGTAAAATATGCTTTTTTAATCCACTGGAGAGTTAGGGCTGAAGTGTCATGTAATACATTCTTACCCAAATGTAAAGTTACCATTCAAGAGTTTTCTTTAAGCCCTAGAAATCTGTGGGGATTTTCTTCGGAATTAAGTACTACAGTTTTTCACAAATCCTTCATGCTTATTGGATGCATTCAGTAATTTGGGTGTCTGAGAACATGATACGCTTAAAATCATATTCACAAATGGATAAGACTTCACTGTGAATGACAATTTTATTAATTTTTTCCAAGTAGAAATTGTCTCATTCTTTAAGGAAAATTTGCTGTGGGTGTTTTCTCCCAATTTTTAATTTATACAGCCTTAATTTGAAATTGAGGTTATTTTCCTGTGTAGTTCCCGAACTACATTTCACTATTAGATGGCAAGTGAGACACCCAGACCTGTCGTGAAACACCACTCCAGTGAAAACTGTTTGAAATTTTTGTGGGTTCAGTGTCTTGTGTGCAGTTGAATCATAGAGTCACAGGATGG